AAAATCGGACAATAACCACGCCTACCTCCCATATAACGGTAATTTTCAGAAATACGAAAACTGCGATATTTTAGTAACTACTGAAGATTATTCACTCAAAATTGATATTTACAATAAGTTTTAGACGAAAAATAAGAATATTATAAATTTTTGTAAAATGGGCGTAGCCACGCCCACTTATGGTTACATGTGTATATCTTGGTAACCGCTGCACCAATTTCTTCCAAACTTGGCACAGTTGTTAACCTTGGTATAACATACGAAATGGCCGAGAATTTTTAAAATCCGACAATAACCACGCCCACATCCCATATAAAGGTAATTTAGAGAAATACGAAATCTTCGATAAATCAGTAATTATTGAAGCTAATTTATTCAAAATTGATGCTTGCAACAATTCTTTACCAAGAAATACGTTTATGATAAAATTTTGAAAAATGGGCGTGGCACCGCCTACTTGTGATCACATATATGTATCTCGGTAACCGTCCTACCAATTTGTACCACATAGAAGCAAAACGTTGAAAATTATTGAAATCGAATTAAAATTATNTGAAAATAATAATGAACAAAAAATACTAGTATTATTGTGAAAAAGTGTGGATTGCTCGATAGACGAAAAATATGGCAATGAGCGCCCCACGCTTTTTCACAATAATACTAGTATTTTTTGTTCATTATTATTTTCAACTTATATTAAGAATTATTTTTTACTTTTTAGTTTGATATGCTTTAGAAGCGTGTTTTTTAGTTTTTTTTTTAAACTATATTTATTACTAATCATGGCTTGCATTTTANTTTTTTTAAACTATATTTATTACAAATCATGGCTTGCATTTTAATGCATTTAAATTTGTAGATTCTTGTAAATTCAGAAATTTTAGTTCAGAAAAAAAGGGCACTAGGCACTAAACCATTTTTTTTGGCGTTTTAATTTTCAAAAAGCACTAAATCTAGTGCTTAAAGCACCAAGTTGGCAACTATGCCGCCCACAACAATATTCTCTATATGCATTAGCTGTCATTTGCTCTTGCGCGGAGTCACGCGCCACTCATAACAATCAGCGGTCGCTTAAGGGCTGCGAGAATCCATACCCATGGGGGGTAATCGCGATCGAGCGACGATCACTTGTTGCACGCCACCGAATTCGCAAGCGTTGTGTTGTAGAATGGCGTGACATCATTGCTGGGAATTAATGGGAAACAAAACTTACGTATGTGTAAAGGAATAATGAGAATTTGATTTTTAGAATAAAATCAGTAGTTAGCTACAGTGAACTACACTCAAAATAATAAAATAGATTTCCACGAATTCTAGCAAAAATTTGTAGCCACATATGAGTACATATTTTATTGTTTTGTGTGTCCTACGTAGCATCTGGATCATCGGATCTTTAGCTTGCATACATATATGCATTAGGGTGGTCTAAAAAAAAGTAAAGTCGAAATTTTAATACGGCCACCCCCTAGGGTTGTTCTATACCGAAACAAACATACCCAATTTTTTTTTATTTTTTGGAATCAAACAATTTTTTAGAAAGTTTGAGCGCTGCAATTTTATCCTGTATTTTATATGGGGAAAAACAACTATTCGTAGCTAAGGTATAGTGTTCTTGAAAATCAATATTTTCGACCGGAAAACTCTAGTTATCTTCAGGAAACTTCGAATAATAATAACCAATTGTTTATTTAACCATTTTTTAATACTAAACAGTTTTTGTGTAAAATATATTTACCATGAAAAAGTGGTTAAGTAAACAATTGGGTATTATTATTGGAAGAAAAGTTTTTTCCCCCATATAAAATACATGGAAAACTTCGAGCGCTTCGAGCACTCTCTAAAATTTTTTTGATAAAAAAAAAAAAAAAATTGTGGTATATTTTCTTCGGTATAGAACAATTCTAGGAAGTGGCGGCATTAAAGTTCCGACTATACATTTTTTTGTTTGACCACCCTAATATGCATGTGTGCACAAAATAAGTCTGCTATTGTAGTACGAGAATATTTGGCTTCCACGCCTTGGATCAACATCACAAATTGTATAAAAGTGTCAGCACTTGATGGCGTTAATTTGTTGCAAGTGTTTTTGCTTTTGCTAGTTTTCTCTTTAAATTGTCGATCGCGCTGAGATCATTTTGTTTAAATTACGATTCGTTGCGCAAAGTGACACAAATGTTTATTCGCCGGCTCACAGTTAATTTGAAATGACGTTTTGAATGCTTTCGATTAGTTTGCTCTCAAAAACTCGAGACCCGGGTCATAATTATAAGCACCCAAAATATTGAAATTTTTAACAACTAATTTTTTATTATTTAATTTCAGTTTTTTTTTAACAAAAATAGAGTTTATTCTTAAAAAACACTGTATATATCCAACTTTCAAACTTTGTGCGATATTTAAGGAAAATTCAACAATTTTTCGTAAAAATTTCGAGCTTTTTAATTTGCTTAGATAGATTTGGCGTATGTAGTTTAGAAGCTCATTCAATTTTAGTACAATAAAATGCAAGTTTGGAGTAGCTGGGCTTACCGTTCATTTTTGGAATTTTTTTCCACATAAATAACTAAAATAGATGAAAATGCACAACATCGTCAGCAAAAAAAAAATGTCAAAAATCAACGGCAAGTCCTATTTACTTTAGACCTGCACTTTTTTATACCAGAATTTGATGGGCTATAAACTACATATTTAGGTACTCAAAATCTTTCTAAGAAATCTAATTAAAAAGTTCGACATTTTTAAAAACTTTGTTTATTTTTTGTTTTAATATTCCACAAAGCATGAAACTTGGATTTATATATTGTTAAAACTTGTCAATATGTGCTGCTAAAGGTGGTTAGCTTTTAAAAGAAAATTCTTCAGCCTTCAAAACGAGTATTTTCTCGATTTTTGTTATCAGTTATTATTTTTGCGGCCAAAAATGCACATACAAAGAAAATGCAATGGAGATAAATAAAGAGTCTTTAGTATTAAAAAAACTTTTAAATAAATAATTGGGTATCAACAAGTTGTTTTTTCTCATATATAATACATGGAAAACTCTAAGCGCTTTGAGCGACTTCTAAATATTTTTTTATTTCAAAATAAAATATGGGGTTATATTTTTTAGATATAGAACAATCCTATTGGGTGAGAGCATTAAAATTCCGACGTACCACAGTTCCAAGAAAGAAGAAGGCAATCGCCGCTCCGTGAGATGTCTCAGCAAATCTTTATATCTTTATACCCACCAGGTAGCCCTTTAGCCAAGATAGGTAGGGATTTGAAAACGAAATCGGAATAAAACCACGCCTAAACATACTAGAAAAAAAAAACTTTTGCCAAATTATAATAAAATGTAAGCATTTCAATAACAGCTGCACCAATTTCTAGCAAATTTGGTGGTTACAACAATCTTCTTTTCTTACTAAGCAAGGCAGCAAACATTTTTTAAATTAGGCAATACCTAAGCCCACCTCCTATATAACGGAAATTTGTTATTCTAAATTAGCTATACGCCGCACAGTGGGGCAAAAAACGTTGCTATAGACAAATCAATTTTGAGAGCACAACTATGAACCGATTTCAAGTTGCTTTTTTTTTAATAAAAGATAATTAAATTTCGCGTCGGTCTATCCATGGCGATTTTTTAAAAACCTCTAGTTTTTTATTTGGTTATTTTGAAAAATGAAAGAAAAAAACATAATGGAACATAATTGAAATTAATTTCAAAAGCCTGCAATTATTTAAAAAATGATTCCTTAACATTTTTCCATAGGATGCATTTAATTAAAAAATGTTTTTAATTTGATATCTATACAGATATATATTTTGAAAACTGTTTTTTTTTATCGAAAAACTCGAGAACCGTTATTTTTGAAATTTTGGATATCGAATCTAGACCCCCAAAGGATGATAATAGAAGAAAAATAATTTCGATATATGAAGGGGCGTGGCACTTGCCAAACAAACTGAAGTTTTCACACAAAATATCTCTGGAAGTAATCGTCGCCAAACTCATGGAAAAAATTGGCACCTCCCCATACAAACTGAATTTGCCACGCCCTCTTTTTCAATAATTCCAATTTTTTCCATGAGCCCATACAGCTCATAATATCTCTCTTGAATACTCTAAGGATGTCATTGTCGATTGTTTTCCGCAGTATCAGATTAAGGAAGTCATACGATGGAAAACCGCCCTCTCTGAAGCCTCATTTGGTATTGACCGGCGCGGAGCGATGCAGCTGGTGGTGTTGTCTGAAACGATCTATCTACATTAAAGCTAAACGCATTTATATGTAAACACCAGATTACACAATATGCAAGCAAAGGTATATGAAACAGGCCTCGTAAGTACATATACATACATACATACATATATATGGCGAAAAGCCTGTGTAGTATAATGAATTAAGTTAAATGCCGACTTACTATGTTCGCTTTATATTTATTGTGCATATGTACAATAGTAATTCCCAGAATTATATCACTTTATCTCTGCAGAGCAGTAAAATCATAACGAAATTATTTTGGGTTTTTATCAACAAATTAATTTACCAGATACAAAAGCCAACACAACAGGTGATTAAAAAATAAAATAAAATAAAATAGAAGACTAATATGGAACCCGCGGTAAGTGAGATGTTTATCATTTGTTTATAAACAACTTGATAACAAGTTGCTATAAAATATCCCCATACACACATACGTATGTAAGTAAAAATTTAAGTATCAAAAACAGAGAGGGAGCTTCAGTGTGTGGTAGAGAGATTGGATGAGCGAATATTTCTCTACGATTTTATATAAGTCATACATAAGCAGGCCTATTGGAACTGCTGCGATCTCGCTTATCATTCGATGAGCTCTTAAGCCAACTGCTCATTCAAAACAAACAGCGCTCCGAGCAAACCATCAGATACATTTGTATGTATAGTAAATATTATATTTTGTCATTTTGCTCTCTGTTTGCAAAGTTCAGCTGTGCAAATTATTTGTCAGGACAGATACTCATAAATATTTTACGTTTATTATGGCAAAAAATTAAGCAAACTAAAAAATTTATAGCAAAGCTAATGTCGCATTCAGTTGAGTTTGTGATCGCGTGTCGTAAAGGCGTCGATGTTGGCGAGCGCGCAACGATGTGATGTGTGCGACTTAATTTTTGGAAATTTCTTTTCGCTAAGAAAGCAAAACAAAAAACCAAAAATTTAGCAGCTTAAAATGCGGCATTAAAGTGAAGCAAAAATTTTATGAAAGTAAAAGAAGTGTTTAGACAAAATTAAAGTAATTTAAAGTTAGTGACCTAACTTCGCGACTGCGTTGACGCGATCGGTACTTTGTCACCACTGTTCGCCCCGTCCACGCTTTCTACGCATTTCGAAAATGTTATACGGTCTGATACAGTTATCGTGGTTCGAAGCCACCACTGCCGCCTTGCCATTTATCACTGTCGCTTTGCTACAATTGCTAAATGTGTTTCTAACCGATCAAACAGCGCGTAAAGTGAAGGCGGCCAGTGAGTTAAGTAGCGCGTCAAATTTGTTAGCCGAAGATGGCACAACACCAACAAAAACAACAACAAAAACAACAGCAGCAGCAACTAATGGAAAAACAACAGCGGCCAATAGCGCAGCGAATGGAAAATTGCAAAAACAAAAGAGTGAATATTGTGAAGAGTAGGTGTCGGATTACAAATACATTTTAATAAATATTTGATCAATAATAACTAAAATTTGCAGTCGCAGCTTTGCCGGCATTTTAAGCAATGAAAATATTATTAAGAGTGTGATTTTTCTGAAAAGATCGCATCTTAAGGGGAGAAAGTAATATGTGTGTGTAGTAGGGTGGCCCCTAAAATAACCATATCATGGGAGCCCCTTCATTTTAAGCTACGTACAAAATAAAGGCCTCCCTGAAAATTAAAAATTTAAAAATTAAAATTACGGGCCGCTACCCAGCTCAGTGGTGCCAATGCGAAATTTATTTTACTTTACTAAACTCTGCAGCCTACCATTCTTGCCGAATTTTAGTTTTAATTTTGTAACTAAATTTAGTTTAAACTCAAGCAATGTGATTAATTAATGTCGATAAGATTAGGAAAAATACTTTTAGTAATAACGACTTATTCAAAGGTGTCTTACAGCTAATTTTGCGCAAGAAATTTAAGTAAAAAATGATTTTAGTTTTTTTTTTAAATTTATAAAATTGCCTTATGGTAGATTTAGGCACGAAAAACGAAACGAACAAAACGAAAAAATGTTATATTTAAATTTTCACCAAAAGTAAAAAAAAATATTTTTTGAATTTTTAGAAAAAAAAATTGGGTATTCAAAGGCTATGCACTTTATTCACACACTACAGATTTTGGTTGGATATATCAAAGTACATCTTCACTAAAATTTTGAGAGTGTTACTACCAAAAACAGCGGTGTTAAAGCCCTATACGTATGCATGATTTGATATTTTATAATGTTTTTTGCTTCTCCTATAAAATAAAAAATTTGTTGGTTAGGGCCATTGCGAATTAAGGTAAAGATGTGCAGTTTTAAGGTTAATTGAATTTTTATAAAGTGCAAGTTTGAAGCGGCTAAGAATTCACGTTGATTTTTAATATTTTTTTTTACTGAATTTTTGTTTTATGCCGCTTATGTACTTAAAATGTGCACGAAAGTAAGAAAAAAATTATTAAAAATAAACGCAATTTCTTAACCTTTTAAAAGTTGCACAAAAATTTAATAGGCTATAAAACTGCAATTGGAGTTCGGTTACAATTGTAGGCTGTACACCTTGTTAAAAAGTAAATTTAGTGTTTGAAAAAATAATTGTTTTTTTTAATCGCGAAAATTCAACAAAATTTTGACTTGGACCAGCTATAACTTAGCGGGTCTACGAATTTATATGAATAAGTTTCAATAATATGTCAAATATTTCAGATTTCACGTCAGAATTTAGTAAAATTTAACCTTGGTAGCGACCCCTAAAAATGTGAAATTTTCGTGGATACCTTTATGTGTTGTAGACTTTTCTCAATTAAAAAATAAAAAAAAATCAAGTATTCTTTGTTAGAAGTAAAAAAATTATATAAGAAATATATATGTGTAGTTTTGTCTAGTATATGTGAATAGTTACTAATTTACATACAAACTTGCATACCTTTTAAATGAATATTTAAGTGGGATACGTGCTTTCCATGTGAACATTTCATCCCCATACATAATGACGTATGCATCTATAATCAATCTGGAATGAGACAAAATGCAGTGAAAATAAGTAACATATACATATGTATATTATTGAAAAGGAAATAGGAATGTATTTTAAAAAACATAGAAAAAATAAAACAAAATAAAACAGCATATACGAAAAAAATTTTATAATCGTTTTAGTAAATAAAATCGCTCGCGAGAAATACGAATTTTATGGGCACAGACCAAGGCATATTAAATAGGTAGTAGCATTAGAGCAAAAACAAAATTTACACACATGTATATTGTTGTTGCTTCTGGCGTCGAAAGCGTCAAAAAGGTAGTATATGTATATATATATTCTTTTTAACATCAAAGTGTACCATGTGAAATACAAACAAAAATTGAAAAAGAAAATTGTTTATAAAAGAAAATAAAACTGCTGCAACTTCTTAGTAAATTTGTTTGCTTCCAGAAGTATCGATCCATCTTTTGTATGAAAAAAGGTTTAACTTTCAAATAATTTTTGACAGTTCAGAATTTTGTAAAAACAAATTACCAAGATTTAACATTTTAGAGACCAAATAGTTCGGGGGAAAAAAACAAATTAGCTGCTCTACCGCTACTACCTGTTCAATATGCCTTGTCACACACTTTACAAGCGTAAATTAAAACTGCAGTGAGCAGTGCAAGTGATTAACAAGACTTCTAAATGCCTGAGTCATGCGATTGTTTTAAAAACTTAATTGATAAGATTAGAATATTTTTATGAACTTTCCCCTTCTCCAGCAACAAGTAATACTTATACAAAATTATCAAGCCTAAAGTACTATTTTAAACGTTTTTGTGTTGCTTTATCTTGATTTTTGTGGTGTTCAATTTATTTTATGTACGTTTTGTGAATTTGTTCTGTTTTTGTCGTATGCGTGTTTCTGTGCAATACACTTACCACCTACAGAAGCTCTTTAAAAATACTGCGCCCTTAGCTCCAACATTAATAATTTGCTATAAATTGATATTGAATTAATACATACATAAATACATATGTATATATTTATGTACACGAAAAAACTTAGTATTGGTGAACGACTTGTTTACACTCATTCTTTTTCTTTAATTGGCGTCAGTTTGTCCACACATTTTGCATAAGAAAATAAGTAAGATGAAGAATACTTACAAATCTCCTTATTTCATTTTAACCGTTATTTTACATTAATAAATTTGCGATTTTAAGACAATACGCCGCACAGAGTGGTACAACATTTATGGACATAAAACAGGGAAAAAACGACTCCCACTTAAACCTAACCTAGTATTTAGCTTTTGTTTTCTTATATTTATTAAAATATTTGGTCGTCTGCACTGATTTTTTCTTTATTTGGACAAGTACATAAATAACATACATACCTATATTTATATGAATCTACCAAAAAAAAAACAAAATCAATCAAAACAAAAGTTATCAGAAGAACACATTGCTCAGTTGAACAAAAGTCGTAATAATAAAATTTTATAACTAACAAACTTAAATTTTTCATATATTTTTTTTTGTAAAAAAGCAAGAATTGACAAGAATTTGTTATAATACATTTTTCTTATTCAAATATTGCTTTATAAGGCTAACCATCCAAGTGTAAACACTGAATGTTAAAAAACTAATTTATTCCGCTGAAATCCCACTGTGCGCCGGTTAACAATTTAATTTTTTTTAATTTTTTGTGGTGGTGTTGTACGTTTTTTTGAAATATCAATACTTCTTTTATTTTTAAAGGTTTTATTATCTTAAACGCCCTCTTCTAAAATACTTTTTTATTTTTCGCTAAAATCGTATTTTTTCCGTTGATACAAATTCAAGAGGGGTAAATTAAAGTTAATGCTTTCACTTAATTAAATTTTTGAATAATTACTTTTTTCATAAAATCAGTTAACCTATGTATGTGTACATATAAATATATTTAATTTTTTATAAATTGTATTTTTCTTTACAAATAAAATAAACAAATATGTATGGGCATAAGGCAGAAGAAAGAAAGTTAAATTCAATGAAATCTTTATTTTGTATGGTTGCGTTCAGTAAAAACAATGTTGAAGACATTTTTTCACTGAAAAATTGCAAAGCAGCACACGATTAAATGTATCTTCCAATGCATTTTTATTTGCATACATACATACATACATATCTACACACCATTTGCATTTGTATACTCATTATTGTTCGATATCCCTTTTTATGTGCCACGCCCATTTTTTGTGTGTGTTTTGTTTCGTTTTCCAGCTCCATAACAATTATANTAAATTCAATGAAATCTTTATTTTGTATGGTTGCGTTCAGTAAAAACAATGTTGAAGACATTTTTTCACTGAAAAATTGCAAAGCAGCACACGATTAAATGTATCTTCCAATGCATTTTTATTTGCATACATACATACATACATATCTACACACCATTTGCATTTGTATACTCATTATTGTTCGATATCCCTTTTTATGTGCCACGCCCATTTTTTGTGTGTGTTTTGTTTCGTTTTCCAGCTCCATAACAATTATACCTTCAGCGCCGGTGTGTACACCATCACCACCATCATCTGCACGTAATTCCATCAATTTGTTACAGAACCAAAATGGCAACAATCCCATCATCATTCCACATACGCCCTGTCTGCCCGAAATACTCAGTGATGAATAGTAAGTGTTTGTGTTTGTTTGTATTTGTCTACATTTTAATTAGTGGATGTGGGTGTGTTTAAAGTTTTATTGAAGGCTTATTTAAATCTTAATTGTTACAAATTAATTGAAGTGATTATAAGCATTACACTAGTCAATAAATGCTGCATTTAAGGTTAATCGAGTACGCTATTTTTTATAAAAAAAAAAGTATGAGAAATTGGAAACTAACGAAAACTTTTAAATTATATGAAAATGAAAATAAATCAATGTAATAAATTATTATTATTAATTTCTCTCCTGCACACCACAGTCACGAGGATGAAGATACACTTTCGCTGGAGAATCTCTTTCCCTGCGATCAGAGTGAAATTTACGCATCAAAGAAGATCAGCTTCATCATTGACGAGCTAATACAGACCGAAGCGAATTATGTGAATAATTTAAGCAAAGGCCTGAAGAATTATGGTGAATTGGATGCGCGTGCGGATGCGCCCGATGCGCTCAAAGGTGCTGACAACCGCCAAAGGCTGCTGGGCAATGTCGAGGATATTTTGGCGCTACACGAGCAACAAATCCTGCCGCTAATGTTGCGCAATCAACGGGACTTGAAGGCCTTGTTCGATGAGTTTTCCGTGTTTTTCGACGTGAGTATGAATATTTAGTAAAGTAGATTTATTTTTTTAATAAAAATGTAAAATTGGGTAGGTAGGGCATTAGTGATGAGAGCCAATATACTATGTAAGTAGGTATGTAGGAATACTTCATTATATTTGAAAAGTTTTACAAATTCTGCAAATAATATCGTTGTGCAAAATTATAATGCAATGCATGCAAGTAAAATATTGTATAGCACCGGCAAGTGGGCAGCGCTCATCAGGTGGAACGAATGAGAACAAAATTTCATGAAAAGCAAACACATAAATCCAACAGGTGTTAAACAGAATTCTGAGGCTAAATGTTTGCGAATAGAGAAAATTGTAAAAATTATGTATGCAAAGAAAATTAAAGAAAAATTATAGTGGAAGTTAACTGTCGCGGGTGGAGGTAAATTTTCTTCTTCTTATTGAATAGGGTACCTGATGCCTGATTGTTCGCTATAATTGCTGACCTGATATGGAGTGTATGGGTTATTGCCCCAAATAAGCTTAAAAAGTAAGAAAATCACGTATTTTTAAATTTATATTTTGCATATTTCAGTGCATCGAATTACCACACTCCCAGTTGCCAAAATACAGTAGAATTATCTCTGACAATCAATCAAAACAATTTGTTTACAGCAAAGATGACTTACTTTGCCTACATATGAATGTATTAGGGTGGCCCTTAAAACATCAACATTTAAATTTTGTGTGGGACACCTATTTATATTGTTTCAGCACGTGCAAAGTAAAGACATCCATGAAAATTTCAAAATTTAAAAATATTTTAGGGGTCGCTTTAAAAATGGTTGAAGATTACGGCTAAAATCGTCGTTTAAAAATGTCCGTATTTGTGTATATGTAGTTGTTTTGCTGTTGCAGCCTGTTCAATTTAAGTTGTTTTCGGATTTGAAATTAAACTTTGTGATAAAGATAAATGTGATGATGAAAAAATAAATGATAAAAACGATGAAGACGAAATAGTGAAGGCAAATTTGAAGATAAAAACGAAAACGAAAAAATAGAAATACAGAAGAATTAGGGTAACTGAAAGGTTAACAATTTTTTGAAATATTTCGATAGGATTCGAAATAAATTCAGTTATAAAAAAAGTAGTTATCGAAAGTTATCAAGCTACCGAAATTTATCGAATTATCGATGTTTATAGTTTACGGGATTTATCGAGTCATCCATCTTTATTGAGTTATCGCACCATATCGAATTATTCAAATTGATCAATGTATATTGAGTGGTCTTGGTTTATAGACACGGGAAATTAGTTTACGGAAATTACGGAGCAATTAAAACTTGTGGGACTATCTAAATTTTCTAAGTTTATGAAATTTATCGAGTTATCGATATTTATTGAATTGTCCTTATTTATAGAGTTAACGAAATTTATCGAGTTATCGCAATGCACCGAATTCTTTCAACTTATCGAACTATTGATATTTACTGGTTTACTGAAATTTGTCGATTTTCAAGATTTATCGAGTCATCGAAATTTCAATGTAATATCAGTTTATCGAGTTGTCGATTTTCAAGATTTATCGAGTCATCGAAACTTCAATGTTATATCAGTTTATCGAGTTGTCACTGCTTATCGAATTTTATCGTGTAATGAGTTACCGTAATTTTTCGATAGCTTTCGATCTATGGAGCTACAAAAATAAGGCGAGTTAGAGAAATTTATAGAGTTATTTAAAGTTTATCGAGTTATCGATTTTTATTGAGATATATATACATGTTTGAGTCATCGAAATTTGTCGAGCCCTCGAAACGCACAGTTATCAAAGTTTATCGAAAATAGTCGAGTTATCGAATTTTTTTCAGTTAGAATTAGCGATACGTATCAAATTATTGAAATTTATTAACAAACTGGAATCTGTTGGGTCAGTTCCAGGTCCTGCCAAAGTCTTCCAAAGACCTTCGAAGATATAAAAAATTGTAGGTACGTTTTAGTTCCAAAGCGAGAGATCTTTCGACAAGTAATCTTGTACCTTATTAGTTAAGCGACGTGCTAAGTTAGCAAACCTATCCAAGGTCTTAAAAAAGGAATTTAGACAGCTGGTCAAAGTAAATTTTTTTTCGAATTTTCGCAATTTATAAAAAATTGTAATTTTCCCAAACCCCTAAATTTTTTTAATTTAAAAATTTTCGTGAATGTCTTTGTTTTGTACGTATAGAAAAATAAAGTGGCGCCCCATACAAAATTTACATGTTGATATTTTTAGGGATCACCCTAATGTCTACGTACATAATGCTAAGAGCACGCAATATATGTACTGAAATAAAAAAAAATGCTGCTAATGCTTTTAAAATAGAAAACCAGAAAATAAGACAAATTCATACATACAATCCTAATGCGCCTAAAGAATTAGCAGACAGCAAATGTCAATAAGCTGTATGAAAATAAAAATCCTTGAACTGATCACAACAAATCCAAGCGGTCAAATGTTGACAGATGTTTTAAGTAGCCGCAAAAACGGCGGAACGAAAAAAAAAATTGAAGGAAATTTAAAAAGTAAATAAGTAGACTATAAAAAATGTTGGCGAAAATAAGTAGCAGAATATTTTAATGAACAATTTCCTTAGTAATTAGCACTTTTGAGCTGTATTTTGACGGAACTTTGTCAAAACCTCGTATCTCAGAAATCACTTCTATCTTCTATCTTGTGAAATTCATTTAAAATTGACCTTAAAATACTATGATGGCTTATAATTTAAACTTAGTTATGTACAAAATACTTAATATTTAATATTCAGATCAAAAAGTTATAAAAAATAATTATTAATTAAGAGTTTCTTGTTAGAGAAATACGAGGTTTCGCCATGATTTGTAATACTTGTAATTTGCATTTTGGTTTAAAAAAGTAATCCTTATTAACATTTGCAGTCTTTCTTTTTTTGAATTTTATTTTCTTCCGCATTTGTTTGTACCATTACCTCAATGAGTCAGTGCGTCATTCATAAATTCCTAGTACTTACGCACATTGCATTCAAAATGTAGTCAATCGAAGGTGGGTAATAAGGAGAGAATGAAAAAAATACACTTTTATTAAAATTAAAAAGTAAAAGCGGCTGACGTTGCCTGTTGCATAAGTTATGAGGTTAAATTTGGTATTCACAACCGCTTTGCGTGAATTGAAAGCCTTTAAAGGGTTTCAGACTTTCGCTCATATTCATAGAGAGGAGATCATCATTGCTGGATAAAATTTATTATTGCCAAGGAAATTTTGTTTAAGAAAAAATTAAAGAATAACTTTTCTGATGGTATAATAAGAGAGTTTGGGATTCAAAGTAAAAGTTTAGTTTTATTAGCGCACCTTTTTACTATGCCCGATTAAAAAAGGAAAACAATTCACTACTTTTTTTTTTAATATATCTCTTTCTGATTCAGAGGGCAATCAATAACATTTTCATGCGTTATAAAGCGTACGTCCAGTCGATGTTTATTTTAAGGCCTAGTTGCTATCAGAATAACCACTTATGCGTTTTTTGTATTTGTAATCGGCTATAAAGCCCCCATTCATGCATCGAATTTGGTCATGATAAGATAAGCTGTAAATTTATGTACATAAAGTCAGTCAATTAAGTTTGGGAACAGCGAACTTTTATTTTATTTTTAGCTAATATTTTATAAAAATATGGTTAATTCTACAACACAAACCTTAAAAATCAGAGTTCCAAACCTTATTAAGTTCTATTATTTAACCTTATTTGAAATGTTATCTTCAGCATAAATTGGATGCGATAAAAGTGAATTAAAAAATTATTTATTATATTATATATTATTATAATTTATGAGAGTAAAAAATAAAGTATAAAAAATAAGCTGTTGCCAATAAAAAAATAAGATAAGGAAAAAAATTAAAAATAATATACCAAAACTGCAATATCGAGCATCAAAAAATATTCAGAAAATTGCTTAAAATATGTACATACATATATACACATATGTACATACATATGTATGTATGTACACATACTATGGTGGTAAAAAGTAAAGTCGGAATTTTATTGCTCTCACAACCTAGGATTATTCAATAGTTGAGAATTAATAATTTTCGGTCGGAGAACTTTGTGTTTCCTCAGAAAACTTCCAATAATAATAGCCTATTTTTTATTTGACCATTTTTTAATATTAACTATTTTTATAGGGGACGCATAAAAAATGCTAGATTTTAAAAAAAATTCTATACCATATTCACGGAATTTTTTTCTCCCATATAATACACAAGGAAACTTTTGAGCGCTTTGAACGACCTCTAAATACTCTTTTATTTCGAAAGAAAAAAAACTAGAGTCTATTTTTTCGATAAAGAGCAATCCTAGGGGGTGAGCGCACAGAAATTCGGATTTAAATTTTTCACATGCATTTTTGGACAAACCTAATGTATACTCATATTTGGCAAATTTTCAAAATTTTTCGCAACTTCAATCCATTTTGCTTGTATTGTTGTGAATATATGTACATATTTAATTGTTAATCGTATAATTAATTTGCTGCTTTTCTTGACTTAACCTCTTGCATTTTATTAATGTTCGAAAAATTGTGCATTTGTTTGATGACTGTAGAATTAGTCATTTGAATGTATTTTGAAATTTAAATTGTTCTACTAAATTTATTTGAATCGACTGCTTGAGAATAAATAATTGCTATGTATGTAAATCTAGTGACATTAGTCAGTGACGGGACTTTTTCTATGCATAGATATGATGTTAAGCACTGGCAAAATAAATTTAAATAATAAACAAAATTTTGAATCAAAACATGTTATAGGGGGTTTTTAGTATGAGGAATCCATTTCTGTAATTATCTATTTCTTAAAACTTCCACCAAAGGGCGCAACAGTGAAAATTTTCACGTTTTCTTCGAAACTTATTTTCGCAATTTGGCAGAATTCAAATTGATTTTAGACCCCTTTTTTTCTTTGGCAAAAATATTCTCCATTGCACATCAAATCCTGCTACATTATACGCACATAGTTAAGAAAAAAATCTAC